TGTAGAGGACTTTAATCTGAATAAAGTCATGAGTTTTCCAGTAAATCTCCACTGAGTTTTCTGATAACATTACAAAAATCACTGTCCATGGGAAATGGGCTATACCGACAGATGTTCTTTCAGTTTATCCATGATTTCATTCATCTTGTCATGTGGAATTAACATCACAGTTCGCAAGGGCTTCATTGGTACATCATCAAACGACCATCTACCTCCAGACAAGTGTCACCCTACTCTTGCACTGGGTAGTTGAACTTCAGGACTGCCTTCTCATAGAAAAATTCTTCCTCTGCACTTGCAAACATTAACTCATCCTTCTTTTGGTTGTTCCATTTCTTTTTAGAATTGGTTTTTCCTACTTCCACAAATGTCTTACTTTTTTTTTTAAATATTTATTTATTTATTTATGTGTGTGTGTGGCCAGCTCAGCCCACCAGGGGTGGGGCTGGCTGGCATGTGGTGCTGGGGGATTGAACCGCGGTCCATGTGCCTTGCTAAGCTTGTTCTAAGTAGGTGCTCTAGACCACTGAGCCATCTCACCAGCCCCACAAATGTCTTATTAACGAGAAGATAGAAGTAGCACTTTCCACATGGCTTATTAGTTTTATGTGCCTCTGCTAGTTCTTTCTGAAGTTGCTGGTGCATGGGCAGAGCGATCTGTGGAGGGACATTAATGAATCTTTCACTTAGCAGAAATTTCACAGGCTTGGTGGTGTCATTTAAAAGCTTGTCCAGCTGTTCAACCATGTTCTTTTCACAGTTCTCGCAGCAGCTTAGAATCTACTCTTTAATTTGTTCAGCACACTGGGTACCTTTTCTCTCGGTTAAATTTAAGAGGCGTATGAAACCAAAAATCTCATCTTCATCTTCCTCCTCATCACTGTCTTCTGATACATTCATTTGCTTAATCACACTCCCAATATGGTTCTGTTGAATTAAGAGATCTGTTAGTTCTGCAGTATTCACAGGAACCTTTAGGAAAAGCTGCTGCAGTAATTTCTTAATTCCATCATAATCGTTATTTGAGATGGAATAAGCTTCAAATTCAATATTCACTTCCTCGTCAACAATTTCGTCATCTCTGTTCTCTTCTTCATCACTGTCTTCACTGTCTTCATCCTCCTCCTCCATTTCACCTTCCTCTTCCTCCTCGTCACAGCGGACATGGGTGCCCTGCGGTTGCAGGACCCCGCACCCCACCGCTCTCCTCTTGGCCCTGGAGGCCATGTTCTGTTGAATTTTTAATGCATGCCAATAAACCCAAGCTTAAATAAGACTATTGAACACTAGAACTCTGAATTACCCATCCTTTTCTGTATTATAATTTTTGAGATTTTTTTCTTCTAGTTAGCAGACACTTTTAACCTTATCTACTCAGGAAACTGAGGCTGAGGCAGAAGGATTACAAGTTTGAGGACAGTTTGATCAAGTTAATCCCTGTCTGGGGGGAAAATGGCTGGGAATATAGCTCAGTGGTAGAACAGCTTAGATTTATTTCCTGATACTTGGAGGAGAAGGGGTGTGTACACACACACACACACACACACACACCTAAAATGAACTACTACTACTAGTTTTGTGTGTGTGTGTGTGTGTGTGTATTATATATGTTAAATTGAACTATGTAACAAAAATTTTTTTTTTTTTTTTTTTTTTTTTTTTTGTCTTCTTGACACGGGATTTCACTATGCAGTTCAGGTTGGCCTTGAACTCACTTTGTAGCCCAGGCTGGCCTTGAACTTGAAGCAATGCTCCTGCTTCAACCTCCCAAGTGGAGCAGCACTGCCACACCAGTTATCGTCACTGTGCTCAGTGACATTGAGCACATTCAAATTGTTACTGTATCATCACTACTGGGTGTCTTCATCTTGCAAAACAGAAAATTGGTATTCACTAAAAATGACTCTGTTCCACTTTTCCCCCAGTCCAATCAACTTCTATTCTACTTCATTTCTTTTTTTTTTTTTAATGAACTTTTTTTTTTTATTTGTGTGTGTGTGTGTGTGGCCAGCCCAGCCCACCAGGGGACGGGCCGGCCGGCATGTGGTGCTGGGGAACTGAACCACGGTCCTGGTGCCCTGCCAGGACCGCTCCAAGCAGGAGCTCCAGACCACCGAGCCATCTCACCAGCCCATCTATTCTACTTTCTATGAATTTAGCAACTGTAGGTAGCTCATATAAGCAGAATCATATTAAATCTGTCCTTTTATGACTGGTTTAACTTAACATAATATAGTAAGCATTCATCTATATTAGTTTGTATGAGAATTTACTTTTTAAGGTTGAATAATACTGTATTTGTTGGGTTTGAATAAGCATTTTGGTTATCCACTCATCCATTATCGGACACCTGGGCTGCTTCTACCATTTGGCTATTACAAATAATGCTGATATAAACATGAGTGTGTATAAATATCTGAGTGCCTGCTTTCAGTTATTTTGGGTATATACTCAGAAGAATTGCTTTGCCATATTGTAATTCTGTTTTTAGCTTTTTCATTTGTAAACTGTTTTCCATAGTGATTGACATGTTATCAACATATGTTTTGAGCCCCAGCTGTCACTGTGAAAACTAGACAAAAGTTACTGTTTCCATGGAGTTTATATTGCAGGGGGGTAGATAAATATATGTGGATTGGGCTGGGAGATAGCTCAGTAGAATAAGCGCTTGCCTGGCAAGCACAGGGTTCTGAGTTCAATCCCCAGTATTAGGGGGGGAATTTTATATGTTATATAAAATTTTATACTTTTTTTATAAGGAGATTCTGGCTATGGAAGAAAGTAATCTTGGGGCCAGGAAGATAGCTCAGTTGAATAAGTGCTAGCTTGGCAGGCCCAAGGGCCTGAGTTCAATCCCAGCTCCACAAAATAACAAAAAACAAAAAGCAAAAATAAAACAAAAAATATATCTGAACTATTACAGTTCTCAAAGTTTGTTATATTTTTATTTCTATTTGTCATAATATAAAGATGAATCTTATAGAAGATGATAATATATAGTAATAACTATGTCACTTATTATTATTTTTTTAATCCAGTATTATTAATGACCTGGGTAGAATTCTCACTTTGAATGAGAAGTCCTGGGATTCTAAATTTCAGCTATACTTCAATTGCCAGGATAAATCAGATAGTGAATGAAATACCTGGCCTTTTTTTTTTTTTTTTTTTTTTCTGGCAGAACTGGGGATTGAACTCAGGCCTGTGCGCTTGCCAGGGAAGTGCTTATTCTGCTGAGCCATCTCCCAGGCCCCAGTACCTGGACTTTTTTTTTTTTTTTTTTTGTGGAACCGGGGATTGAACTCAGGCCCTTGCGCTTGCCAGGGAAGCATTTATTCTACTGAGCCATCTTCCCGGCCCAGTACCTGGACTTTTAATACAACTTTCTTTTAGTCCATATATAAGGTTGCTATAAATCTTGAGTATTTTTTACTTACCTCTTATCTGTCACTATATTCAGTCTATACCTTTATATTCATAGATAATATTTGAGGAATAGATATATGAACATTGCTTTGTTTTTATTCTCTTGGTGTCTCTGTTTAGTACTTTGAGTTTTCTCCAGAGTCTTGCTGGTCTCTGCATCCAAGATCTGGAAAATGACTTCAGAAAATGTAAATTACATATAAGGAAGATAAATGTTTAGTGGTCTGTATTGGTTATCTATTAATAAATTACCATTGGTAATATTATTAAACTATCTCAAAAATTTATTGGCTTATACAACAGTGTGTATTTGTTACCTGACAGTTTCTGTAGAGCTTTACTCTGCTGATTATTCTGGCTTACGTATTTCATGAAGTTGTAGTCAAAATGTTGACAGGGTTATAGTCTTCAGAAGGCTGGGCCCAGCCTGGAGGATTTGCTTCCAAGATGACTGGCAAGTTAATGTTACCTGTTGACAGCTATACTGGTTGAATGTCTCCATGGAATGGTGGCTAGCATCATTCAAAATTCATCACCCAAAAAAATAAACATGATGGAAGCCTTAGTGTCTTTTATGGCCTAACCTTGAAAGTCATACACCATCATTTCTGTAGTGGCCTGTTGATTATACAGATCAAGCCTGTTCAATATAGTGGGATCTATAAAAAGTGATCTCCAGAAAACATTGATCATTGGAGAATATCTTGAAGGCTGATCACCATGGGAATACAATGAGAAAAACATCAGGTAAATTGGATTTATGTCCTAAGCTCACAGGTCCTGGCTCCACAAGAATACAACAGGCCTGAAATGAGTATGAAGAAGCCTTAGGAACAAATATTGTGAAAGAAAACCTCCTAACCTAAGTTTTACCTGAGAAGGTGGAGAATCCTGGGAAAAAGTGGACCCTGAAGTTGCTGGACCCACAGACTATCTTGAGCATTGTGTCCAGAGATCTGAATGTCATCTCAACCTTCAGCATCAGCAATAGTTGTTCTGACAATGGACCATTCTATCGAGATGATGGAAAGGAGAGGTGAGGTGGCAGAGATGGGAAGTTTAGGGGAGGGGGGCTGTGTACTCGGACACAGTGCAAAAGAGGAAATTCACTACTGCAACCAGTAGTTCACATGCGTGTTATAAACTCTGAAAGACCCACATTTATTTTTGTTGTTTATTGTTTTTATTTTGTGGTACCGGTGATTGAACCTTTAGACTTAGCTAGATCTCTAAGCCTTCTTAACTTTTTTAAAGATGAAGTCTTGCTAATTTGCTCTATTTCTAAGGCAGGGGTCATACTTGGGATCCTTATGCCTCGTGCTAGAATGCTGAGATTGTAGGTGTGTGCCACCAAGCCTTGCTTACATTTTTTAAAACATTTATTTGGCTATTTAATTTTTATTTTATTTTATTTTATTTTATTTTTTTATTTTTCAACAAATAATACACTGCATATATTCTTCTTAGTGGTTAATTGCTGTACAAGATGCAGACTTGTGATCCTATTTACAAACACCATTAGAACAAATCATTCTATTCATTAACAGAATGTAACTATATATCTATCCCAACCACTTTGAATACACAGATACAAAATGGACATTCATCTGTATACCCCATTTTTTCTAAGTTCCGTTATTAAATATTATAGGTGTGTAAACTCAGCAAAATATTCTAAAAGAGTCCAGTAGCCCATAATAGCATTGGGTCTTCTGTTTAACTGGCAATGTCAGAAATTATTGACCTGAGTCCTCCACAGCTCAACTTAACAGCATGGCTTTATTTCTTATAATTTCGTCTTCATACTTTTCTGCTGGGTGGTTAAGACCAAGGTAAAGCAGGACCTATGCAACAAGAGTTGTAGCTTTTTGGTCTGAGAAGGTCAGTGAAATGCCCTCAGGATTTGTCCTGAGATCCTGTACCTCAGAGTGTAGAACCTTTATCAGTGCGGCCATGTGGATGAGTCATGGCCAATGCTTGGCCAATGTGCTCTCTGTGAAAGCCTGAGAGAGTGTCTTCTCCCCATGTGACTCTCCTTAGGCCCACTCTATGTCATCGATCACTTTCCTCTTTGGCCCCTAATCTTCTTGATCAGAAAATTTGGGACACTACCGAGGTACATGACATTACAGTACAAGTTCTCATATGTCCTGAGTCTTAACTGACCTTAGAAGGCTAGGGCCAAAATGTTGGCTTTCCTTGTATCCCTCCTTTTTCTCTAATTTTGGTCTGCAAACTTAGGTTGTTAACCATCCAGAAGAAAAGCTTATTGTTATTATCAAACGATTTGGGCTATCAATCTTAACCTCACTATCTCACTGCATTTCAAACATCTTAGGCATAATAAGGAACAGGTATTTTTCATCAGGTATTGATATGTTGAACTTTAAGTCCCTACAGAATATGATAAAAAAAATTTAAAAATTAGATTATATTTTAAAAAATAGGATAAAGAATTCTATGCTTCTCATGTTTGCACATAAGTCCAAAAATCTCACCATACACAACCTTGAAGCAGGACAGTCCCACAATATTCCTTTTCCTGTCTCTTGCTTTCCTTCACCACTGCCTTCTTCTTGAACATCCATCTACCCGAGAGACATCTTAGCAGTAAATGGCATGTCATGACAAGCCGCCCATATTCAGAATACCACAATGACAGGCACTCCCATCATGAAACAACTGTTACAAATTACCATCTGCAGTGCAGTAGCTTAGTTCCCAGGTATCAGTATATATAGTTAGTCAGGGTGAGAATCTTTCCAATTAACTCCTAGATTAAAGAATCTTCTGAATATTCTCAGGATCATTGCCTTGCTCATCTTTTACATATAACTGCATGGCTTAATATTGCCATGTTTCCTAGCTCATCTCCTTTCCCTCTTGATTAGTTAGTCCTTGAGATCCTGCCTTCTCTTTCCTTGTATTATATCTTTCTATTTGTATTTCTTCTTTAGAGTTCTTATACTAGGGAGACTATACGATATTTACACATGTGTGTCTGGTTTATTTCACTTATGAGTATATGTTCAAGTGGCATCCACTTTAATATAAAGGCTTGCAGTTTATCATTCTTAATAGCTGAATAATATTCCATTGTGTAAAAATACCACATCTTTCTCAACCATTCCTCAGGTGATGGGCATCTTGGTTGTTTCCAAGATTTGGCTATCACAAATTTGGCTATTTAATTTTTAAAAAATAAAAAATACTGAGAGTGGTAGCAGTTTGAGAATAGGTTTTGCTACTTTCCAGGCTTTTAATTCACTGTATAGCCCAGGCAGGCATTGGACTTGTGATTCTCCTGGTTTATCCTTGCAAGTGCTGGATTTGGAGGTGGATGCCACCATGCCTAACTTGAAATAAATTTTTTAAAATAATTTCTATTTTCCTTTGGAGGTATATTGATTTTTTTAAATGTTATGTACAAGTATAAACAGAAGTTTCTTGTTCTGTCCCTCCTTATCCTTCTTCCCACTACCCTGAAGCAACCACTTTGAACATTTTTGTTTGGTATTCTCCACTTTTGTGAATAACATCCACATATAACTATTATTTTATTTCTCAGTTAAGTTTCCTATTTTGTCAGTAGACACAAATATTTAGCTATCTTTAACATGTCACCCTTACCTGGAATATTCTTTTTCCTTGTCCTTTCTAATCAAATGTTAGAATCTGTGGGGTTTTTTTTCTTTTTTTGGGGGGAGGGTGGCAAATCAGGAAGTAGCACTAGATTTGCTAGGAAAATGTAAGCAGGAACTGCTGGGGTTTTGTGAGGTAAAGGAAGAAAATGCAGTTCTGACACTTAGAGCTTTATATGTTTTGATGCTTTTAGAAAGGGCATTGTTCTTCATCATCTCACCTTGTTACTTGTTCTCTGCTTGTTATGAATAGGCCCAAAAAAGTTTGTACCATTGAAGTTACCCACAGTCCTATATTTTAAACATTTCCACTTTATTCCCTCTCTTTCTTCCGCTTATATAGTACCCATCATGAAACATACACATACCTGTGCACACACCCCCCTTTCTTTTGAGTATCTGATCAACTTTCAACATTTCACGTCCTTTTTTTCCTACACTGCTTTAGCTACCTTTATCTGAATCTATATACTTGAAATCCAAAATCTCGTTAAAAATAGCACACCCCCACCAAAAAATAAATCACATATTTTTCCAGTGAGGTAAATGTCACCATGTTATGTATGGCAAAAGAAGACATCAGTTTGTCCCAAACCAGCGGTTCAGTCAACAAAGGTCACCTGGGAGAGGAGCGGGGAATTGAGGAGGGGACAAAGGACAGGAGATGTGAGAAATGGAGACAAGACAAGATTCTGATCAAGTCTCATTTATTTAGGGGAGGTGCTGGGTATATATAGTGAAGGCATAGGGAAATGACTTCGGTGGGTAAAAGGCATGAGTAACTAGGCAACCGGGCTATGACAGGAAGTCCCACCTCCTGGGCATAGCAGGAGACTTATGGGAAATAGGCAAGGTAAGAACTAGGAACCTAGCTCAGCAGAGGTAGGGGAAGAGGAACCCGGAAACCACTTGCAATAGGATTGGAGGCCAGCTGTTATTGTGCCTCCCACATCAGTTAGCTTTAATACCAGTTTTTGAGTTTTATCTTATCTTTACTCTATTTTATTTGGTGGTACTGGGGATTGAACCCAGGACCTCATACTTACTAGGCAGGTACTCTACCACTTAGATATATTCCCAGCCCTGATGTCTTTTTTTCATACACTACATTTAGTTTTCTCTTTTTCCACCCTATTCACAAACTCCTATTTGCAGATAAATCTAATACCACCAGTTCCTCTATATGGTATGGCTATGGCTTTCCAACTCTCCCTCCAACTATTTTTTAAGCTTGAGATTTCTCTAAGTTACATACGACTCCAGAATTTTATTGCCATCTCTTAACTGCTGAAGTCTTCTATTTTCTTTGTCTTTGTGAGTTTATCTTCTTTTATTAAAGTTTATTTTGGCTTGGGAGAGAAAGAAATGAGTGCAAATATTTAATCTTCCATTTTTAACTAAGAGGACCTGAAGTTTTTAGGGTTAAAAATACTAAGTTACTAAGGGCCAGCCAGATAGCTCATTACATTAAAGTGCCTGCTTAGGCAGACTCAGGGGCCGGGTGTTTGATCTGGCCTTGCCCCCAGGGCTCGCTGAGAGGGCAGTTGAGACTGGGCATGGTGTTATGTGCCTGCCTGTAATCCCAGCGCCTGAGGGGCTAAAAAACAGGAAGGATCAGTTCAATCTGTATAGTGAGACCCTGTACTAAATACAAAAAAAAAAAAGTTACTGTAAAATGACCTTAGAATCCTGATTGCATTTTAGTCTGCTATGTGAATGTCCCCCAGTTGCATATGGCCAGTCTCTGATTAGGGTACCCCACCCAAATTTTTCATAGCATCATAAAGAGCATTTAATCCTTGAATCTGTGTGGGATTTTTTATATATTTAAGATTTTTTTTATTGGGGATAGATAGCAAGGTCCTTGGTAAATGCAGTATATAGTATGTAATTGGACTTACTGTACTTAGTTCTCCAGAAATCATTATCAGAACCCCATATGATTGAAGAAGGCATCCATATACATTTCGTTTCCTCTACAATTTGATGGTGTTTAACATTTCCCTATAGTCTCAACCAACATTCCTCAACGAGGGATCTTAAAATTGCCTTTTCCTTTGTCTGAAACTCTGAAGCAAATCTTTTGTTTCTTTTTCTTTAGCTTGGTGTTTTCGGGACTCTGCCCTTTCACAGGAAGAGGATACAGCCAGGTTTTTTGTATGTACATCTTAAGCATTTATTTGTGTCTTGCAATATTTTACAGTTCAGTTGTAGTAGATTACTGTAACCTACCAATAAATTGGAAAAACTCAGCCAGGCGTGGTGGTGCACACCTGTAATCCCAACAGTTAGGAAACTGAGGCAGAAAGATTGCTACAAGTTCAAAGCCAGCCTGAACTACACAGTAAGACCCTACCCCTCTTCAAAAAAAGTCCGTGAGGGCTGGTGAGATGACTCAGTGGGCTAAAGCACCTACTTAGAACAAGCTAAGCTAAACAAAGCACAGGGCCCGCGGTTCAATCCCCCAGCACCACATGCCAGCCAGCCCCGCCCCCTGGTGGGCTGAGCTGGCCACACACACACACAAAATAAATAAATAAATATTTTTTTTTAAAAAAAGCCCATGAAAAGTAAAAAGATAGAAAGTAAGAACCAGGGGAATAATGGTGTATGGCTAAGATAAAATAAGTATATCCAAAATTATTCAAGTTAGGCTCAAAATTTGTTTATTTTTTTTTTTTTATTGGGAATCAAACTCAGGACTTTGTTCTTGTCAGACAGGACTTATGCTGCTGAGCTATCTCACAGGCCCAAGTTGGGCTCAGATTTGAATATGACCTGGAAAGTCAAAGCAAACTGAAACAAAGTCTGTTCTATAATTTACACTGTTAATGAAGGGAAAACAATATTATTCAAAGAAAGAAAAAGCTTTTCATTGGCACCGAGGCCTGAAAAGAATTCCTAAAATAATTGCATAATTTAAGCTTAGTTTTTAAAAGTTGCTATTGTCCAAAGATAAAAAGTTAAAATCACCTTAAATAATAAATGGAGGGCCAGGGAGATGGCTCAGTGGAATAAGTGCTTCCCTGGCAAGTGCAAGGGCCTGAGTTCAATCCCCGGTTCTGCAAAAAAAAAAAAAAAAAAAGAATAAATGGAGCATGTATCTTTGAAATGCCTCTGCTTGTGTGTATTCTTTAATGTAAGTATGTTGGGGTTTCAGTACACATTAAACTAAATTATACTAATACTCGGTGGTGAAGTCTTATCTGATATCCATAACTTTTCACACCATTTTTTGTGGTCTTAGAAGATGTGTTCTTACTGTCTCTCAGTGCTGTTTGTTCTTATCTTTTCTTGACTTTTTTCTACCTCTGAAGTCACTCACAGTCCTGTATTTTCAACATTTTCCACTTCACTGCTTCTTTTTTTCAACTCGTATTTTACCCATCAAGAAAAATACACACTACTTTTGACCAGGTGATGATGTGACTCATCCAGTTATTTGGCATACTGATTCTCTGGCCTTAGAATAGACTTGGGTTTAGATCTTGTTTAATGACTTGCAGAGTATATGATCATGGGCAAGATTCTTAAATTCTTTTGTGTTTCATTTGGCATTATCTCTACATGCAAGGAAACTTGCCCTGTAGGGGCATTGAGATAGTTAAATGCAAATAGTAAGTGCCCCATAATTCTTGCAATTATTAGCTTGTAGTCTTTCCTGTCCAAGATGGGCTTTAGACTGTTGTGTTGTATTTACTGTTTCCATTGACTTTTTTAGTTTCACTTGTAACACAAAAGGTGAAAGAAATGATTGCCTGATTGGGATTAATAAAAATTATTTCTTCAGTAAAACCACCATTAACATTGTAAATAGGCAAAACTAGGAACAGTTTTTGTAATACATGTAGCAGAAACACAGTGACAACTCTTAAAAACCAATAATTAAGAAGATAGAAAGTAGGATGAAGAATATAAAAAAGCGGGGCTGGGGAGATGACTCGG